GCAGGTGTGGCACTCAGACTCTGTATGGCACCACAGTGAGGCTGGGGTCGTGTGGGGAGGCTGGTGTTCTGTATGAGGGGGGAGGGATTACATTCGTGTTCCAGGGGATTACAATTGATGGGAGGGATTAAAATTGACGGGATTACAATTGATGGGAAGGATTATAATTGATTGGTGGGATTACAATTGACGGAAGGGATTACAATTGATGGGAAGGATTACAATTTATGAAAATTATAATTTATTTGAATTGGATCAAATGAGGGGAAGGGAGGGGAAGAGGTTCAAAACGATGGTTTCCCTTTTATATATCAAAATATTTTTATTGTAGAACAGCTCTATTGTAGAACAGATCTATTGTAGCACAGCTCTAGTGTAGAACAGCTCTGTTTTAGAACCACTATTTTAGAACAGCTCTATTATAGAACTGCTCTATTTTATTGAGATCAGGATTCTGTATGGATCCAGGGATCTATTTTATGATTCTGGTTCTCTTTAATACATGAGGTTATATTGAATTAACGGGTTTAAATGCTATGCATGGGGTTCTATTTCATTATCTTCTATTCCATGCAAGGGGGTTCTGTTTCATACATGGGTTCTATTTAATGAATGAGGTTCTATTTCATACATGTTCTATTTCATGTTGTTGGTTCTATTTGTGACCGCGCCACATTGAACACCTTTCAAAGCCAATGGTTCTGCTAGAGATCTTGAGGTTCTTTGAGACTAACTGTTCTCTTTTTTCAAAGTATGGTTTTGAACCAAGTATTTCTATTTGATATCAGAGGCTTCAAGAAATAGATTTCCATTTGAGATGAGATGCAGTTCAGGTAAAGGGGTTCAGATTTCAAAGCAACGCCTGTGGTTCAATCTGTAAGTAGTGGTTCAGTTTGTGACCAAAGGTTCTGTTTTGGGTTTACAGTGTTTTATTTCAGGTTAGGTGTTGAATCCAAGATAAGGTTCTTTTTCGTACTATGGGGTTTCTTTCTGGTCTGAAGAGTGAAAGTGAAATACCAGGTTTTCTAATTAATTTTGGGTTTTATCATTTACATAATTTGTTATAATATACATCAGGATTTCTAATTTACACCATTTTCTTTTATCATTTACATGTGTTCAAATTGACACCTGGTTTTAGCCAAAATCAGTCGTCCATGCCTGAAACGTTATGCGTTCAATCATACAATCTTGTTGACACACTCACACTACCCCAGAGTCCTGTTGACACACACACACACTACCCCAGAGTCCTGTTGACACACACACTACCCCAGAGTCCTGTTGACACACACACTACCCCAGAGTCATGTTGACACACACACACACTACCCCAGAGTCCTGTTGACACACACACTGCCCCAGAGTCCTGTTGACACACACACACTACCCCAGAGTCCTGTTGACACACACACTACCCCAGAGTCCTGTTGACACACACACACTACCCCAGAGTCCTGTTGACACACACACTCCCCCAGAGTCCTGTTGACACACACACTACCCCAGAGTCCTGTTGACACACACACACTCCCCCAGAGTCCTGTTGACACACACACTACCCCAGAGTCCTGTTGACACACACACTACCCCAGAGTCCTGTTGACACACACACTACCCCAGAGTCCTGTTGACACACACACTACCCCAGAGTCCTGTTGACACACACACACTACCCAGAGTCCTGTTGACACACACACTACCCCAGAGTCCTGTTGACACACACACACACTACCCCAGAGTCCTGTTGACACACACACTACCCCAGAGTCCTGTTGACACACACACTACCCCAGAGTCCTGTTGACACACACACACACTACCCCAGAGTCCTGTTGACACACACACACTACCCCAGAGTCCTGTTGACACACACACACACTACCCCAGAGTCCTGTTGACACACACACACACTACCCCAGAGTCCTGTTGACACACACACTACCCCAGAGTCCTGTTGACACACACACTACCCCCTGAGTCCTGTTGACACACACACTACCCCCTGAGTCCTGTTGACACACACACACTACCCCAGAGTCCTGTTGACACACACACACTACCCCAGAGTCCTGTTGACACACACACTACCCCAGAGTCCTGTTGACACACACACACTACCCCAGAGTCCTGTTGACACACACACACTACCCCAGAGTCCTGTTGACACACACACTACCCCAGAGTCCTGTTGACACACACACTACCCCCTGAGTCCTGTTGACACACACACTACCCCTGAGTCCTGTTGACACACACACACTACCCCAGAGTCCTGTTGACACACACACACTACCCCAGAGTCCTGTTGACACACACACTACCCCAGAGTCCTGTTGACACACACACACTACCCCAGAGTCCTGTTGACACACACACACTACCCCAGAGTCCTGTTGACACACACACTACCCCAGAGTCCTGTTGACACACACACACTACCCCAGAGTCCTGTTGACACACACACACTACCCCAGAGTCCTGTTGACACACACACTACCCCAGAGTCCTGTTGACACACACACACTACCCCAGAGTCCTGTTGACACACACACACTACCCCAGAGTCCTGTTGACACACACACTACCCCAGAGTCCTGTTGACACACACACACTACCCCCCAGAAGGTCATATTGTAAACACATGACCACATCAACACATGAATTTGTTTTCTGAAGTAAATTTCATTATTTTTCACTCGAGCGTCTGTATATATATGGCTGATCAAATTTGTATGTTCTGTCATAGAATTCAAAGATAAATATCTGCTGTAACTGAGAAAACAACCTTTACGCAGTTGTGTCTTGTTCTAGACATGTAAATCACACGCAAAGTCACTCGCGGATATCACGTGCAGGAGTCTGTAAACTGCGAGGCAGAGACCCAGAGCCACACACCCTCACTCCTCCGCGGCTCAGGAGCAACTGGCTGGCCAGGTCCTCCTGGACTCCATTCAGAGCGGCTCCCCCACAGTCCTCTCAGACAAGTGAGCATCACCAGCTGGTCCTCATGGACGATCAGAACACCTTACTTCTCTATGTAACACCACCTATTGGGTGTTATGCTCACCTATTGGTTCCTCTATTGGGTTTAGATATGAACCTGAGGCTGCTGGTTCAGTATAATAACTGTGGAGAGCGGGCACAGGTAAGCTAAAGGTGTGAACATGGAGACGTATTGAGGGGGTAGAAATAGCCTAAGGTACTCTATTCCTTTGAGATGTATTTTTTTTCTTGTCTCAATAAACATACTTGAACCTGAGACGTATTTAGGGTGGTGTGATTGAGGGGATCTTTATTTTCAAAATATTGTTTCCAATGGGTTTGAAATATTATTATTATATTAAGAATATAAATTATTGACTTAGTTACGTTAGTTTAGGCTAGGTGAAGATAATTTAGGTTAGGTAGGGTAGGTTAGGTTCGGTCACATATCTACGTTAGTTTTAACTCAAATTAAAAAAAAACTTAACTCATACATAATGAAATGGGTAGCTTTTTCATTTCATGATAAAAAAATTCGAAAAATATATAAATTCAGGAAAACTTGGCTTACTAGGCAAATCGGGCCTTGCATAGTAGGCCGAGTACTGCGTTCTGGCTACTAGGTACAATATGACTCAGGACATCGTCAGATATAAAGGTTCACACGCAATACTGAGTCATTTGAAAATACTTTTATGGCACCCACTGCCACAATCATTAAGCCGAGACAAATAATAATAATAATAAAAAGGACAAAGGTCAATAAATTACGTTTATGAGTAAGGAAGAGACCGTCAAGAGTAATCCAAGCGCCAGATTTGATCATTTTTGTAAATAAACCTCCGCCATTGTTGCGTGACGACCTGCCAAAATCCGGATTTATTTACCATTATACGAACGAATGCCGTTTTAACACGGATTTAGATATCTGTTTTGAGCGGGTTTACTGTACGTAATATTCGCCTAAATAGATGGTGTAGTTTAATATTTATGATAGGTAGGAAACATTCTTATTTGAAATTAATATTTTCGCAACTGTCTGATTCATAATTAGTGTGAAATACATGTTTATATCAACGCCGGAGAAATTTAACAAATGCCAAGGGATTACACTCCAAAACAAAGAGTAATATATATACTTATAGCAGTATTTGTAGTACTCTCAGCCTACCAGTAGTTGCAGTAGCAGAACTACTGCTTCTGCTGGCAGTACTGCCGTCGTGTAGGCCTCTACTGCTGTTCTAACTACCACTATTGTTATTACTAGGCTGTTCCATGATTATCATTTCCGATAATAAGATATTTTTTAAGATATTCATATAGGGAGAGGGAGAGGGACAGAGAGAGAGAGAGGGAGAGAGAGGGAGAGCGGGAGAGAGGAAGAGAGGGAGCGAGAGAGGGAGAGAGGGAGAGGGTGAGGGAGGGGGTAGAGATATGGAAGGCAACTTGCGCACTATCTCACCCTCCACTTATATCACCCGCCCAAGCTGACTAAACTTTAGATACATCGTATATCTTTCTTCATACTCTCGCTTCCCCCTCATACTTCCCGCTCACTTGCCTCACACTTCTCACTCCTTTGCTTCACACTCCTGGCTTCATTGCGTCACGCTTCCCTATGAAGCAAGGAAGGAAGCTGCTTCCACCGACGGGTGAGCTGGGTGGATTATGACACCAGAATTATTTGCCTGGAGTGTGAGCTCCGTAATCCTTGCCTCACCCTGGGCTTGGGTTCGCATCTGCCTCTTGAACACCTGCTTCTTCCGTGGAGCAGCCTGCCTCTCTCTCTCTCTCTCTCTCTCTCTCTCTCTCTCTCTCTCTCTCTCTCTCTCTCTCTCTCTCTCTCTCTCTCTCTCTCTCTCTCTCTCTCTCTCTCTCCAGTCCCCACTCCACCCAGACAACCAGTACCGCCCCAGTCCCCATGCTCAAACTATTTCCGTCTACTGGTGTCAATCTGGCGCGGGTCACGCAAAGTTGTCGGCCCCAACTCTGGTCTAAATCACTGAGAATTACCAACTGGTGAGTATCCTGATTAGACAATTGTTTTCAATTATGAGTGTGAGGCAGGCCGGGGCAGGTCTTTAGGCTATTAGAAAGGTTTGACAAAGGTCCCATAGGGGACCTTTGTAGCAAGGAAAGGACCTTCCTCCCCTCTGTAGCAGGGGGGCGGAGCGGGGTCATGTAGGCCCCGGGTTATTGCCACCACCACATTCCTCTTCACTATATAGATCAATATCATTATTTTTCCTTGAAAGAAAACCCCGCGGCGAATCGTCATCGAGGGTGACCTGCTCCTTCCCGGAAATGTTCTCGTAAATATTGACAATTATTACGTGTGTCTTTTACTGGAGGCGGAGTGGGCTCGGGGGTGTGCGCGTCATCCTGGCTGGGGGTGTCGCGTCCTCGTGGATTGGGCGTTGTGTTCTGATGAAACAGCTCATTTGTTCTGGCGGGGAACGGTTGTTCTGGTGTTCTTACGATGGGTTACTTACGGTACGACAGGCCTAGGGGGTCAGTTTATGTGCTTGGCAGTGTTCTTGGTTGTTCTTGTGGGTAGAGACAGGTTAAGGCCTCGGGTTGGACGGGTTTATCACCATGATACTGGTGATCACCACATGTGATCCTGTGGTCCCGGGTTCGATCCCAGGCGCCGGAGAGAAACAATGGGCAGAGTTTTTTCACCCTATGCCCCTGTTACCTAGCAGTAAAATAGGTACCTGGGTGTTAGTCAACTGTCACGGGCTGCTTCCTGGGGGTGGAGGCCTGCTCGAGGACCGGGCCGCGGGGACACTAAAAGCCCCGAAATCATCTCAAGATAACCTCAAGAAGATAGAATAAAAAGCCATGATATATATTATTTATTTCTTATTAAATATTATACCATACTCTGGCCCCCTTCCCTTCCTCCTTCTGTGCTGTTCCTCCTCTCTTGCTCTGCCCTTTCAATCTCCTTTATCTATCCACTCACTTTCAATCACTATCTCCAATCGTTTTCCTTCTCCATTCACTGTTACATTATTTGTGATTGTAAGTGGGAATGGTCTTCCTCCTTCTCCTGTTCTTCTCCATTCTTTCTTTCCTGCTTCTGCTGCTTCTGTTCCCCCTCCTCCTCTGCTTTCCTCTCTTCCTCCTGCTCCTCGCCCAATTTCATTACCCTCATCTTCAGAGTAATGTCATATACCTCCGCTGTGTGCAAGATGCGAGTGTTGTCTT